AACTAAAAATAGAGCTACCATATTGATCCAGCAATCCCACTCCTGGGAATATATCCAGAAAAAACTCTAATCCAAAAAGATACATGCACCCAAATGTTCACAGCAATACTATTTTACAATAGTCAAGACATGGAAACAAGCTTCCACTGACAGATGAATGGATAAAGAAGAAATGATATATTTATACATTGGAATACTACTCAGTCATAAAAAAAAGAATGAAATAAGCCATTTGCAGCAAGATGGCTGGATCTAGAGATTTCCATACAAGAGAAGTCACACAGAGAAAGGTAAATATCATATGATACCACTTTTATGTGGAATCTAAAAAAAATGAGACAAATGAACTCATTTACAAAACAGAATCTGAGTCACAGACACAGAAAACCAACTCACGTTACCAAAGGGGAAAAGGAGAGAGGGATAAATTAGGAGTTGGAGATTATCAGATACATACTACTATATATAAAACAGATTAACAACAAAGTCCTACTGTATAGCACAGGGAACTATATTCAATATCTTGTATTAGCCTAAAATGAAAAAGAATATGAAAAAGAATACACATATGTGTAACTGAATCACTATGCTGTACACCAGAAACTAACACAACATAGTAAATCAACTATACTTCAATTAAAAAATAAATAAATAAAACTAAATTTGTTTTCAGTTAATACAGCCTCAGAATATACATAGCAAAAATGATAGAAATAAAAGATTTAGGCAAACACAGTAACAAAGATTTCAGATCTTTTTTAAGTCTAAAGAAATTTTCAAGGAAAGAATCCTTATACATTCTCTGAACACAGTGGACTCAATACTAAGGTAACTAACAAAAATATATCAAGAAAACTTCCAAATATTTAGAAATTAAACTATACACTTCTAAATAACACATGGTTCAAATTAAAAAATACATTGAAAGGCATATTTAAATTAAAAGTATGAGAAAAATATATATCAAGACTTACAGGATGCAGCTAAATTTATATCTGAATGGAAATGGCACATACACCAATGGGTAGAATATATATGTGAATAAAATAAAAATATTATAAACATAAAAGTTAAATGATAGAAATTATAAAGATAAAGGCAGAAAGATTAGTCACACACACACACACACACACACACAAAGGCATTCAATTTTTGAATTTAAAACATTCTCACAAAGAAATTTCAGGCCCAGGTGATGTAAGTGATTTATTCCAAAGATTCAATTTAAAAAAAAATACCATACATCCATAAAATAGTCAGATATTAGGAAAAGACGAAATACTTCTTAACTCGTTTTACAAGGCCAGAATAACACTGTTGCCAAAACCTAACAAGCATATTACTAAGAAGAGAAAATTAAGGCAACCTTATTCATTAACACAGATGCAAAAATTCTAAACAAAATATCAGCAAAATAAATCCACCAACTGACCAAATCCGATTTATTCCCAGAATAAAGTAATATCATACTGTGATCATCTCAACAGATGTATCAAATGCGTTTGAAAATTTTCAAAATTTAGTAATTAAAAAAAGTTTTAGTGAACTACAAATGGAAGTAAACTGGCTTATTCTGATAGATGGTACCAATACCACACTTAAGGGTGAAATTTACAGTAAATTTATCTAACAATGAAATACCAAAAACCTTCATCCCGATGAGCGTAAAAAACAAGGATACTCCCAATACTTCTATTTAGCATTGTACATGACAGCTTAATCAGTGGGGGAAAATGATATAAGGGTTGGCGAAGAAGAAATAAAAATCATTATTTGCAGATAACAATTACGTACCGTGGAAAGAGGAACTTCAAAATGTAGCCATTATCGCTAAGAGAGCTATTTAAAATGGAGCCTGGAGGCAATTAAGGAAGCAGGGCTTATGTATGCCCTCACTAGCTGGACCCATGAACTTTCGAGTTGGACCAAAACACAAATAATCGAAGGACCCTACAAGGAAACCTGCAATCTGTCACAGTAATGAACTTTTACCTCCCTCTAGTGTAGCCTTTAGCAACCAATCACGTAAAAATAAAAACAGCTTCAGTTTGCCAGCAATAATCATAATTCTTCTGAAACAATTTTTGCAAGCTTGTGTTTTTTGTTTTTGTTTTTGCTTTTGTTTTTCTTTTATAAATCCTTGACTTTTCTCTTCTCCTTGGAACACATTTTAAATGCTTGCTGAAATCAGTATCCCCTGAATTGGAATTCTGAGATCCGAAATAAAACCATTATTTCTTTGCAGCTCTGCTGTGGTGAAATTTGTTCCACATTACATAGAAATTCTGGAAAGATCTACCAACTAATTATTAGAAAATATGAAGTAAGCACCAACTATCTACCAACTCTCTCTCAAACATAAGGTCAAAGCACAAGAATGAATTACTTTTCCTTCATACCAGCAGTAAACTACATTATACTGTGCTATATTAAACATCAAAAACATCAGTTATCTAGGAATGAAACTAGGCGATTTTAATCACCTGGAAATACAAAGGGCTAAGAATGACAAAGATAATCTCAAAGATGGACTTACAACAAAGATTGATACAAATGTTCACAATAAATATATAGCAATTAAGACAGTGTAATGTTGGTGCAAGGATACAAAAATAAACTAATGGAACAGAACAGGATGTAGAAATAGACCTATATATATGGAGTCTGCTTGTGCTATACTGTGAGGAAAAGATAGCCTTTAAATAAATGGTGGTGAGTCAACTAGTATTCATATAAAAAAAGGATTAATCTGGGCCCCTACTTTATACAAAAAAAAATCATTTCCAGCTGAACTGCTGACCTTGTAATCTTTTATTAAAATCACATAGGAAATGTACTCATAATTTTGATTAGGCAAAGATCTCTTAGAAGGGACATTAAAATTAAAATTTTATTTCACTCAAAAGATGCCATTATCAGAGTGAAAAGGCAAGTCACAGAGTTGAAGATATTTTTCATGAATATATATGACAAATGACCTCCCACATTTGGAGTGTATAAAGAATATATATTAAATAAATAAATAAATAAATATATTACGAAACACTTCATGCTTTTTGAAGCTGTAACAAATAGCCTTTTAAAAATCATACTTGTCTAATTTTTATTGCTGGGAAATATAAATATAACTCATCTTTGTCATTAAGAAATATATATAAAGAACTCCTGCAAATCAGTGATTAAAAAAGACAGACAACCTAATGTAAAAATAGACAAAAGAACTGAACAGACATTTGACAAAACTGTACATTCATAAGGCTAATGAACAAAGGAAAGTATGTTCAATAACATTAGTCTTCTGAATAAGGAAATTAAAACTACAATGAAACATCAACACATGCCTATTAAAATTGTTCAAGTTTAAAAACAATAAGACTAGTAGAAGAATGAACTTGTGCAAATACTTCTAAAAGATATTGAAAAGCTTAATATACATTTACACTATGACCCAGAAATTCTTCTGTTTATATATGTACTTAGTAGAAATGTATTCATATGTTCTCCAAAAGACAAGTACTAGAATGCTCATAGAAACAGTAATCGTAATAGCCCTAAACTGGAAACATTAAGTGTAGAACAAATGAACAAATTTTAATATATTCATATAATGGACTACTGTAAAACTATGCTCTATAACATGGTAACTATTATCCATATGCGCCTACTCAAATTGAAGTCAATTAAAACTAAATAAAATTAAAACTGCAGTGCCTCATTCACACTCACTGAATTTCAAATACACAAAATGCACATGTGGCTGGAGGCTACACTGTACATTAGAGTTATAAAATATTTTCATCATTTTAGAAAATCTGGTTGGATAGCACTGCTAGTGAGCAATTAAAATGAATTTCTGTTATATGCAACCATATAGATGCTCAAAAGCACGTTGCTGAGTAACACAATGCAGATACAAATGACTACGTGCTGTGTCTTCCTGGGTACTCATAAAGTTTAAATACAGAACAAATTAACCTATTCATTGTAGATGTCAGGAGGGTGGTAACCTGAAGGGAGTGAAGTATTTTAGAATATTTATAATTATCCATTTCTTGAGCTGGACTGCAGTTAAAAGGTGTCTTTAGTTCCCCAGACTGGATAGCCAGACATGATTCTAAATTTTTCCATATTTTGTACCAGCAACATCAAACTAATAAACTTTTATCCAAACTAAATTTTTCTCAAATATATTCTATTCTATCTCTAGAGATAAATTCTAAATGGTCTCCTAAATGCTTACTTTTTTCTCAAATTCTCCCCCTCAGCTTCATCTTCTACAGTATCTTCAAAGTACTGTATCTAAAATGCATATTTGATCATTTTTACTCCCAAGGTTTACTCTTTTCAGTGGCTTCCAGACGTACACAGGATAACATCATTTATGTTAATATGGCAAAGAAAGCCTCCTATGATCAAGCCCTTACCAAGCTCAACTCTCTCTGTTCAACTAACAATCATGCTACTCATGTCATAACAAACTCCTTCCCAAGACTTTTCACACATTTTTGCCTCTACTTTCCCTGCTCATTTTTCCTGTTAAGAACTTGTCCCCAGTCTGCTTGCATTATGAGAAATCACTTATCTTCATGAGTCAATTCAAGTGCCACACTGTCTATAAGCATTTCCACATCATCCCAGATAAAAAAGGCCATTTTCTCCACTTTGATTCCACATCAGTCTGTACAGGTTTAATCATGGCATTTCTAAGTACTAACTGTACTCCTTTTGTGTGTTTTTCTCCCCGTATTAAACTCTAAGCAACTTAAAGGCAAGGTTCATATCTGATTGGTCTTTGTAGTTTCAGTATCAGACACAGGCGAATAAACGAAAAAGCTGCTTCACTCTACTGATAAGTCCCAGTTTTGTCTCCTATCTAAACTGCAAGGTCATTGAAGACAGAGACCATATATGGCCAATTCAGATTTTTTTGCATTTATTTATTTGTGTTTTCTAGTCTGGTTTCCTAGGGAACAACAAATTGTTTCTCATGACCTAAAGGCTTATGTCAGCCTTTTGAGAAAAAACAATTAGAAAATAATGACCAATTATTCTGCTACTAAGATAAAAATAAATATTAAATATGTTTCATATATTCAGGAAGAACAAATGAATAACAAATGTTGGTTTGATTTAGAATAGTAGTAAACTTATGTTTTGAAATTCCAAAATTCTAAAGGTTTTGTTCCTTTGTTGATGATACTGATGTTTTCTCATAGTGAAATTGGCTAAAAAAGAATAGTTAATAAATATCTATAACCAATGAATCAACATTATAATCCCATCTGTGTTATAATTAAGGTTTCTCCTGTATTTGTGAATTTTCCAGGTATATTAAATAAATCTAGTTTTAAATTAAACTAAATGTGTTATCTACATACTTTATGCAAATGAACTAGTTAAAACAGAGGGTTAAGCATATACATGAATTTTGAGAATGTAACAACTTTCCCTTCTAGCAGTTTCTATCTTGAAACAAAAAAGTAAATCATTTACTACAATAAAATCTTCCTAAAATTGCCTTTTGTATACTTTAAATGAATAATGATTATGAATAATATATACACACCAAAGGATGGTCAGGATGTTTGGTATATCAGAAAGACCAGAATATACAAGCGCAGAAAAGATAAAAGCAGCGAACAAAGGTAATTCATAGCACTTTGCATCACAGTTCCCACGTCTAGCGTCAATAAAATCACCTTGATTATCTAGTGTTGGTATTCCGTCTTTAATGCAAGAACAATTGTAATATGCCTATGAAAATGAAGATAGGAAACAATCTTTTAGAAATATAGTCATAAGGCAAAAGATCTTACAATTATAAAATAAAAACAAAATCAGTAACTGCAGGGAGACTAGTCAGTTTATTAGTAAATATCCTTACATTAAATCTGCCACTCATAATTTATAAATATACACTTACATGATTTACTAATGGCAAAGAAATCCAAGGTATTTTATCTAACAAAGAATTATGTATTTATATGTAATTATAGTTCTATTAATTTAAGAAATTTCACCCAAAAAATTTACATTTAATTGTACAAATAATTGTTGGAGAGATACATGGTTTGGGGGCAAATGAGGAAAATATAATGAATAAAATGGAATTTTAGCTGGGATTTGAAATATGGAAAGTTACCCAACTGTAGACAGTTTTAGAACCATGCTGAGAGGACAAGAGTTTGTTTTGTATGTAATGATGACAGGGTTGTTATCTATTAGACAGAGTAGTTACAGTGTGCCTAGGGCTCACAATACTTTTAGGGCCATATAAAATGTTTTAATTATAGTATCTTTTAAAATCAGAGAAAAATAAATATCATAATAATGGATATATTATAATGCATCCAGCTGAATTATATTTGTCTTTATATCAATGCAGTTGTACATTAAGTCCTCTCTCTCTTTTTCCCTCCCTCTCTTCCTTTCTTTCTTTTTTTTTAAGTGAAGGAAGGGGCTTACAAAGGCAAAAGTGTCTAAAGTCAATGAATGTCAGAATACAGCCCCTAATGGGAACCACTGAAAACTTGGGGTTGTTGTTTAGAACTGGTAATTCAAGGGAGATAAATAGGTAATATTTTCTAAGAAGAACAAAATAGAGTTGAAGATACAGAGACGAGCTAGCAGTTTATTAATCTATCGAAAAGATTCTAAATTAAATAATAATAATAATAAATAAATAGAAACATTAAACTAGATTACTAGTGAAGAAATAAGATGATACAAAGATGGCTTAAACTGGAGTGATTTGGAAAATGATGGTTCAAAAATCATGTCAGTTGTATGGGGAAGTTGTTAAGTGGTTACTAGGTATGTTAGACAAAACAGAAATATCCAAATAAGAATTCATTCATTCCACCATATTTTTAAATAATGCCTATATGTCAAACATCATTCTAGGTACTGGAAAAAATAATTAACAATACAATGGAAATTCCTGCCCTCATCTAGAAAACTTTCTACTTGTATGAGATCGGCAGTTAAAGAAACAAAACAAAACATATAATGGAGCACATGGGGCAACAAATACTACGGAGAAAAAAATAGGTATGCGAAAAGCACAGAAATTATAAGCATGAGTTTAGTATGATCAGAGAATGCCTTAATGATGCAGTTATATTTGAGGAGAAATCTGAAGAATGTAAGGGAGTAAACCATGCAGTTACCTGAAGGAAATATATTTCAGGTTAAAAAAAAGAAATTAAAAGGCCTTGTGACTGGAGCTTGCTTAACAAGTTCAAGGAAAAGCAAGGAGAAAAACGTGGTTGGATTAGACTGAACATAAAGGGAACTAAGAGAAAATAAAATCAGAGTAATGGAGGAAGGGTTTATACAGAAACCTACCAGTTTCTGTATAAACTGTGAGAGCAATTTAAGAACTTTGGCTTTTATCTTAGTAATTTGAAACCATTGAGGGGACCTATGTATAAACGGCATATTTTAAAAGATCATTCTAGCTGCCATATTGAGACTACTGAACTGTGAAAGCAGAGAAAACAGTTAAAAAGCTATTCAAATAAAATGCAAGACAATGGTAATTGGGGCCAGGGTGGCATCAGAGAAAACGATGAAGACAGATCTAGTATTTATTGTGAAAGTAAATTTTAAAGGATTTGTTGAAGGGTTCGAGGGTAGAAATGGTTACCAGAAGGAATAGGTCATATGGAGAGAGTTTCCCAGAAAGAGACTAAGACTTGCAGTCAAGGGAGGCAGTCAGTCCATGGCTCAGAAAGGGAACCAAGAAAATAAACACTGTGACTTCACTTTTTCCCCCCATCCTTCTGATTTTCTACTAAGACTCCTTATCATCATAATCCAGCCAGAAGCCAGAGGGCAAAAAAGCTTCATCTTATAGTTCAGTATCCTGGGTCAATGAGGAGGGTAGAGAAAGGTAAAAAGTGTATCTGGAGGTCAGACAAAATATAACCAGTACAACAAATATTTGCAAGCCATAGAACCTAAGCTGACTAAGGGGTAAAGTGAAAATATGAAAAAGGTTTAGTGAACAGATGGGAGAATCACAAAGGCTGAAGAACTGAAGAATTATATTCAAAGAGAAAAAGCCAAAATGCCAAAAGTTATATTAAAATGAAATAGTAAAATATATCCAATTCAAATAATGAAAAGGAAGATAGATCTAAATCCATCATATCAATAAGTACAATAAATGTCAGCAGTCTAAAAACTCTAATTAAAAGACAGACATGAATAGAATTGAAGAAAATGCAAAACCATATTATGAGCAGGCTACAGGAGACATTTTAAACCTAAAGACACACAGTTGGAAAATAAAATGATAGAACTAAGGTATAACATGGAAACAGCAAGAGAAGTTAGAGTGACTATTTAATATATAAAACAGACTTCAAAACAAAGAGTATTATCAAAGATGGAAAGGGACATTTTATAAAGATAAAAGGAACAATTCTTCAAGAAGATGTGACAATTATTAATGTGTATGCACATTATATCAGAGTCTGAAATTACATGAAGCCAAACTAAAGAGAGAAACAGACAACCATATAATTATATTAGGATACATTTTTCACATACAGTGTTCAGGATTTCATATCATTACAAGGCATGCAAAATGACAAGAATAATTGACTTAAAATTAGAAGAACATATATAAGCAAGAACTTTAAAATAGCTATCATTAGTATTTTCCAAAAAATAAATGGATAAAATATCTTTAATTGATATGGAAATTCACCAGGTATTTGAATTCTACAAAAACATAAATGTTAGAAGTGAAAAGCATAGTGAATAAACTTAGAACCACAGTTTTTGGGTATAATAGCAGAGCAGGCAAAGCATAATAGAGAAATAGTAACTGGAAGAAAGGACAATAGAAAATATGCACATCTAAGCAAACAGATGACAGGAGCTAAAAAACAGAGAAAAGAACAGAAGGTTATGGGACACAGTTGTGGTCTGCGTTAGGCAGAATTCTAAGATGGCACCTAAGATTCCCCCCACCATTTGATTAATCTGCGTAATTCATACAACCGTGAGTTGATGGATTTTAATCCCCTTACTAAGTTATGTTATATGGCAAAGCTGACTTTAAGACAGAGTAAACTTCACCTAATTGGGTGATACATAAAAGGAACCAGGATTTCCCTGAGGTCATAGATTTCAAAACTTGTGACAAGGGAGATCCTCTGCTACTGGCTTTGAAGATAGATGGAGTCATGTAGCAAAGAATGGGGGTGGCCTCTAAGAGTTAAAATTGGCTTTCAGCAGGCAGCTAGCAAGGAAACAGGGGCTTCATTTTTTACAGCCCAATGGAACCAAATTTGGCCAATAATCTGAATGATCTTGGAGGTAGGTTTTTACCTAGTGCCTCTGGAAAGGAAGGCAGTTCAGCCAATATTCTGATTTTACCCTGTGAGACTCTGAGAAGAGGACCCTCTAATGCCATATCTGAATTTCCAACCTGCGAGCTAATAAATGACTATTACTTAAAGACACTAAGATTGTGATAATCTGTTACGCAGCAACAGTACATTAATACATGGTGCCCCCCCCAATTCCAAAAAAAGAGGGGAGAGAGTGAGGAAGAAATAATAGCTGAGAATTCTCCAACTGATAGCCATCAACCCACAGACTAAAGACCTTCCATGAAATTCTAGCAAAATAAATATAATGAAAATCACATCTAGGCACATCAAAGCAAAATGGCTGAAAATCAAAAACTAAGAGAAAAATCCGAAAAATAGCCAAACAGCCAGAGACGTAAGACAATATAATGGCATCTTTCAAATGCCAGGGCAGGGTCAGGGGGTGGGAATCACTGCCAATATAAAATTCTGTACCAAGTGAAATAGTTTTTCTTTTCAGAAGAGAAGGTGAAATACGGTTCTTCAGGAAGAAAGAAAATAATCTTGTGTGAAAGCATGGAAATGCAAGGAAATGGAGAAATACAAATGCATAACGACTGTACAAAACAACAGTAATAATAGTATACCATTTAAAACGTATGGAGAAATAAAATATATGACAAATGTAACACAGAAGTGGGAGGTCAGGAAATGAAGTTAAAATAGTCTAAAAATGCTTCAACTGAAAGACTCTGAAGCCTTCTTTTTATCCTTAATGCTTTGGACAAGATTGACTTCCCTCTCTATAGATAATGAGAATGAGGCTCCTGCTGGACTACAGCAGTCTCTGAAAGACACTCCCTGATTCTGCTGTTTTATCAATTGTTATTACTATGAAGAGCAGGTACCTCTTTTTCACTGTTAGTAAAGTGCGATTTTTCAAAAAAACCTAGAAATCTACAGAGGTAGTGTCTCCCACCACTCCTCTTGTAAACTTTTGCGTAAGTGTAACTGGAAAGTGCTCAATTCTAACACATTTTGTCCCTGATCATGTTTTGAATATTATCATTTAATCAGAATTATTTTAAACTACATATTTTTACTGAAAAAATATTTTACAGAGGGAATCCCATTAGCACAATTTAGATACTTAATCGTTTTTTGTGTATAGTATTTCTCTTACTTAATTTTTATTTTGTTAAAATTATTTTTATTGGTATCAATTATTTCCTATTTGAATTTAATGTATATATTCTCTATTAATTAGTTTCATCTGTATCAATTGTAGTAATAGTAGCTTCTGCTATTGTCAATTTTCCTTCAGAGCCATTATTTCTTTACCTAACCGTCCTGGATAATTCCTAACAAATCTAATTTTTGTCAAAAATACTCTTTATTCTTTCAATTTTTATTCAGCATCAAATGTTATCACATAATTTGAGTCACTATGTTGTGGATTATTTCTTTATTCACTGTAAATTAATTACTAGATAAATGTAAGAAAAGTATGAAGATTTTTATGAAATAGAAACAAATTCCTAAAAGGGATTCCCCCAGAAAAAGAAAGGGGGATCAGCTCTTGAATATCCCATGGGATTAAAACACCAAGGTCAATCAGTTTTGCTTTATACTGTGGTGGCAGACAATGTGAACATTTAAAAAATCATTTACTTGTCAAAGTAGAATGGAGAACAACTAAGTGTGAGTATAATGAGATTTTTCATAAGTAAATAAATTGTTGAAGATGGGTAATTGACATATAGGAGCTCACATTCTTTTCTAATTCCATTTAAAGCTTTCCACAGTAATGTATTTTGAAGATTTTAAATATATTTAAAAGTAAATGAGTCATTTAAAATATATAAAATTTTAAAATTTATATAATCATTTCAAATTTAAAAGAATAATTCTGAACATTTAATAAGAAAGATTTTTTAAAGATATGTAATCCTTTTTATATTAATATTCAATAAAAGGCTGAAGATATATTATTAAATCGTAGGCCAGTGAAAACATGACAAAGAGGAACTAAACTTGGACAGGTATGCTAATATCTTATATTAAAATGATCTGTGTGCAACAGGGAAAATAATACTGTTTTCCTGGGTTGTAACTAATACAGTACTTTATTGCCTACTAAGGGAGGTAGTATAATGACTATGGGTCAGGAAGTATACATCTTCACTGCTCTCTCCCCCTCACAAAGACTAGACAGGGAGAGGAGAGGGAAACAGAATTTTTAAAGCCTGGATCCCTACTTCCGTGTCACCTCAAGGGAGAAGCTGAAGTTACAGCCCATTGTTTAACTAAAAGCTCATTTGTGCTACTTTGGATGTAAAAACACTACCCTCGAGTCAAACAAGTAGCAGAATGGTCAACTGCTCTACATGAAAAATTAGAAAATTTGTCTGGAGATTAATCAAAGGCCCAGAGAAATTAGGGATTTTGATGGTAATGGCCCCAAAGATGAGCAAATAGGGGAATTTAAAATGAGTTTCAATTCATGAAAATGCCAAAGGACAAACAGGAAAGACATATATTCAATTTTAAGTCATTTGTATCGTTGCCATATAAATCCTCCTCTTACCTTTCTGGAAAGCACATTATATCTTTCTCATATGCTTTCAGGGTCTTATTTGTATGGTAATCTCTGGCACACAATAAAGGCACTGATTTCCACATGTGAGTTAATGTGGGGCAGAAATAGAAAGATAGCAAGAAGGTACAGTGTAGATATTTTGAATTCCTCAGGACAAAAAACTGAGTGAAAGGTGACCAGAAGATAGTGCTGTCAACCCACTGGTGCGGGAAAGACTGTGGTTTAAGATTTTGGTGGATCGGGTGCTGCTGACAGGATAGAACTAAGATAAGCCACATAAGAAGAAGACAAAATATTCTCTTAGACTGCTTCTTTCAACTTTGCTATGGCAAGAGGTACACTATAGTCACCCACTGCTTTAAAATCATAAAATTGGAATAATGTAATATATGGAGACATATTTTAATGTGATTTTAATTACTGTTTTAATATAATTTAATCTTTTCCACTTCCAATTCTTATAAGTCCTATGTATTGTGGCCACAGAAAGCATATGTTCTTCTCTTGTTTTCAAAATATAAGTAAAGGGAAAAAAGATTTTATACAGAGCTAGGAGTAAAATGTGAACACCATCTATAAGTTGCACATCTTACAGAGACAAAGAAGCATAATAAAAAATAATTACCTTGCTATCCTTTAATGTTTTAGAATGTGTACAACCTGCAAAGCAAGGAGAAAAATATACAATATCATCTCTTCCACATGTAGAAGAATAAAATGAAGATGAGCATTTACAATGAGAATTGCAAGGAGCTGTCAGGTTGCCCAAGTGCCCTGTTCTGTAAAAGAAGAGATTGAATGTAATTATAATGCCACTGTATTATACTTATTAATGTATACATCAAGATATCAATGAAATCCATAAAATATGATTATTGAAATAATTTTAACAGCTTTATTTAGGTACAACTCATATACAGTAAGCTGTACACATTTAAAGTGTACAATTTGCATACACTTGTGAAACCATCACAATTTTTGTTAACGAACACAATCGTTACCCCCAAAAGTTCCCTCATGCCCCTTTGTCATTCCTCTGCCCCCAGCATCTGTTGATCTACTTTCTGTCACTATTCATTGGTTTGAACTTCATTGCATTTTATGATGTGGAATCATATACTATGTGTACTTTCTTTGCCTGGCTTCTTTTATGCAGCTTATCTTTATATGACCTTTGTATGCTCATCTGCTTCCATGTCTCTTGGGTAAATATTGAGGAGCAGAATGTTTGAATCATATGGGTAGATGTTCATTTAACTTTTTAAGAAACTGTCAAACAGTTTTCCAAAGTGGTTGTGCTATTTTACATTCTCACCAGCAGTGTTTAAGATTTCAGTTGCTTTCCATATTCCTTGTCAGCACTTGGAATAGTCAGTCTTTTTAACTTTAGACATTCTAACAGGAATATAGTAGTTTCCCCATTGTGGTTTTTAATATACATTTCCCTATTGACTGATGTTGGACATCTTTTAAGGTGCTTACTTACCATCTGTGTATATGATTTGGTTAACTGTTTATTCAAATCTTTTGCCCATTTTTGTGGATTTCTTATTATAAAGCATTGAGAGTTCTTCATATGTCCTAGAATTCTTTAAAAGTCCTTTGTTAGATTTATGATTTTCAAATATCTTCTCAAGTCTAAGGCTTGTTTCTGCATTACCTTAACAGGATCTTTCAAAGAAAGACCTTTTTCATTTGATGAAGTTCAATTTACCAATATATTTCTTTATAGATCATATGTTTGGTGTCATATCTAAGAAATCTTTGCTGAACACAAGTTTGCAAAAGTTTTCCTTATATTTTTGGAATTTTATATTTCACAATTATATCTACAATCCATTCTGAGTTAAGTATTTTACATGGTATAAGATATAGATCAAAGTTTATTTGTTTACATATAGATATCTAATTGTTTCAGCATCATTTGTTAAAATGATTATCTATTCTCTGCTAAACTGCATATGCATTCTGTGAAAAATCAATTATCCATATATATATATATATATGTGGGATTATTTTAAAAATCTCTATTCTGTTCCACTGACTTATTTGTCCATATTTACACCAATACTATTTTCTTGATTATTGTAGATTGACAGTAAGTCTTGAAATCAAATGATGCTAGTCCTTCATTTCTTCTTTACAATTGTTTGTGGTTTTCGTAGGTCCTTTGCATAACTATATGAATTTAAAAGTTATTTTTCCAGTATCTAAAAAAGAAAGCTTGCTGGGATTTTTATTGTGATTACACTGAATACATACATCAATTTGGGGAGGATTAACATCTTAAAAATACTGAGTCTTTAACTGCCTTCATTCAATTCCCACTTCCCCAACCCCTCACCTTTGATAACCAAAAACCTGTTATCTTTTTCTATGAGTCTGCTTGTTTTTGAAGTATAATTGACCTATAACACTATGTTAGTTTCTCTTACACAGCATAGTGATTTGGTATTTCTATATATTTCAAACTGATCACTACAGTAAATCTAGTTACAATATTTCACCATACAAATATAATACATAGCTATTGTCTATTTTCCCCACACTATGCATTTCATACTCATGACATTTATTTTGCAACTGAAAGTCCGTACCTCTTAAAAAACTCCAAAACTCCTTCCTTATTGCTTTCCTCCCCCAACTCCCTCCTTTCTGGCAACCAGTTGTTTGTTCTCTGTATCTAGAACTGTTTCTGTTTTATTATGTTTGTTCATTTGTTTCTTAGAGCCCACATGTAAGTGAAAACTTACAGTATTTGTCTTTGTCTGAAATAGTTCACTTAGCACATTACCCTCTAGTTCCATCCATGTTGTTGCAAATAGCAAGATTTCATTTATTTATGGCTGAGTAATATTCCACTGTTTATATACTACATCTTTTTTATCCATCCATCTGTTGATGGGCACTTGGGTTGCTTCCATATCTTGACTATTGTAAATAATGCTGCAATAAACATAGGGTGCATGGTTCTTTTCTAATTAGTATTTTTCTTCTTTTCTGATAAATACCCAAGAGTGGAACTGCTGGATAATGTGGAAGTTCTAATTTTAATTTTTGGAGCAATCTCAATTGCTCTGGGGCTGCAACAATTTACATTGCCACCAACAATGCATGAGCATTCTCTTTTCTCTACATCACTGCCAACACTTGTTATTTGTCGTCTTTTTGATGATAGCCATTCTGTCCAATGTGAAGTGATACCTCATTGTGGTTTTTATTTGCATTTCCTTGATGATTAGTGATGTTAAACATTTTTTCATGTGTCTGTTGGCCATCCATATGTTCTTTTTCTGAAAAATGTCTACTCAAATCCTCTGCCCATTTTTAATAGGGATGTTTGTTTTTGATGTTGATTTGTACATGTTCTTTGTATGTTCTGGATATTAACCCCTTACCAGATATATTTTTTGCAAATATCTTTTTACATTCATTAAGCAGCCTTTTTGCTTTGTTGATGCTTCCCTTTACTGAGTAAAAGCTTTCTAGTTCTGATGTAGTCCCATTTGTTTATTTTTGTTTTTGTTTCTCTTAACTGAGGAGACATCCAAAAAATTACTAAGACCAATGTCATACAGCATACTGCCTATGTTTTCTTCTAGAAGTTTATGGTTTCACATCTTACATTTAGGTCTTTAATCCATTTTTTTGAATATTTTGAAAAGGATATGTATTAATTCTTTAAATGTTTGGTAGAATTCATCTGTGAAGCCATTTGGTCCTGAACTTTTTTGTTGGGAGTTTTTTTTGTTTTTGTTTTTGTTTTGTTTATTGAATCACTTTCACTACTGATTGGTCTGTTCATATTTTCTATTTCTTCTTGGTATAGCCTTGGGAGATTGTGTATTTCTAGGAATTTGTCCATTTATTCTAGGTCGCCCATATTATTGATGCATAGTTGTTGATACTAAAGATTGTCATCAAGTCACAAAGGAAGAAGAAAGAAACAAAAAGAACCTACCAAAACAACCCCAAAACAATTAACAAAATGGCAATGAGTACATACCTATCAATAATTACTTCAAATGTAAATGGATTAAACGCTCCCATCAAAAGACATAGAGTGGCTGAAAGGACACAAAAACAAACTGAAAGTGAGGAGATGGGAAAAGGTATTCCATGCAAATGGAAATGAAAAGAAAGCTGGGGTAGCAATACTTACATCAGATAAAATAGACTTGAAAACAAAAAATGTTACAGGAGACAAAGAAGTATATTACATAATGATCAAAGGATCAAACCAAGAACATGTAACAATTATAAATATATACACACCCAACATAGGAGAATATAAATAAATAAAGCAAATATTAACAGACATAAAAGGAGAAGTCACAATAATACAATAATAGTAGGGGACTTTAACATTCCACTTACATCAATGGACAGATCATCCAGAGAGAAAATAAACAGGAAACATTGGCCTTAAATGACACACTAGGCCAGCTGGACTTAATGGATATATATTCAGAACATCTCATCCAAAAGCAACAGAATACGCATTTTATCAAGTGCATGTGTGATATTCTCCAGGATAGATCACGTGCTAGGTGACAAAACAAGCCTTGGCAAATTAAAGAAAACTGAAATCATATCAAGCACTTTTTCTGACCACAACACTATATGACATTAGAAATGAACTACAAGAAAAAAAACTGCAAAAAACAAAAACACATGGAGGCTAAACAATATGCTACTAAACTACCAAAGGATCACTAAAGAAATCAAAGAAGAAATCATAAAACACTTGGACACAAATGAAAATGAAAATACGATCCAAATCAGTGGGACACAGCAAAAGTTATTCTAAGATGAAAGTTTATGGTAATACAAGCCTACCTCAGGAAACAAGAAAACAGTTTTTTTTATAACTAAGTGAATTATCTTTTTCATATTGGGTGAGTTTTTTCAGCATGGTTTTCAAGGATTAGTCCAAATTACCTGTGAAATTTATGTGTGTGGGGTTATTTGTGGTAGTCCCTCATTACAATTTAAGTATCTGTGGGGATAGTTATTGCCTATTTGATTCCCAATAAAGGTAACTGGTGTGTTCGGTGCTTTTTTTCTTTGTTAATCTTGCTAGAAATGTGTCAATTTTATTGATCTCTCAAAGAATTAGGTTTTTGTTTAATTGATTTTTACCTGTATCTTTATTATTTGCTTCCTTCAGCTTCTTTTAGGTTTATTTTGCTCTTAAATTCTTGAGATGGGAGCTCAGATTACTGATTTGAGATTTTCCTATTTTCTACTGTATGTATTTAGTACTATAAATTTCCCTCTAAATACTGTTTTAGTTTTGTCTCACAATTGTGATATATAGTAGTTTCATTTTCATTCAGCTCAGTGTAATGTATTTTCTTTTAATTTCCCTTCAGACTTCCTTTTTTACACACAGACTTTTTAAGAAGTGTGTCATTTAGTTCCAAGTGTTTGGAGATTGTCTCATTATCTTTCTGTTTTGACTATAGTTTGATTATGTTGTGGTAGGAAACACTCTGTATAGTTACAGTTCTTTTAAACTTCTGAGGTCTGTTTTATGACCCAATAGTATGGTCTATTTTGGTGAATATTCCATTTGTACTAAAAAAGAATAGGTATTCTGCTGTTGTTGACTGGAGTGTTCCATAAACAATAAAATTAGTTCAAGCTGATTGTGTTACTCAGTACTTCTTTATTCTCCCTTGAGAGGGTAGTGATAAAGTTTCCAAGTATATTTTTGGATTTATCTTCTTTTTCTTCCAGTTGTATATTTTTCCCTCTTAAATCTTGAGGCTCTGTTAGCTGCATACATAAATAGAATTTTGTTTATTCTTTGTAAATTGACCACTTTATAATTCTGTCTCTTTATCCCTGTAATTTTCTTGGTTCTTAAGTCTGATATTAATATTTTAGCTTTTTTTTATTTAGTGTTGTATAATTCTTTTCATCTTTTTAACTTCTAAACTACCAAAATCATTTTTTATTGTAGGATTCATGCAGACTGTATTTAGTTGGGGTTTACTTTTTTATACAGCCTGACAATTGCTGCCTTCAAATAGGTAGGTTTAGATTAGGGATCAATAAATATCTTCTATAAGGGGCCAAATAATAAATATTTAGGCTTTACAAAACTTGTACAGTCTGTTGTATATCCTTTTTTACTAGAATTTATTTTTCATAACAGTTCTGGATCTACACAATAATTGACCACATGCCTCTTCTCCCCCTACACACAATTTTACACCAGAAACTAGGTTTTCTGATGAGAAATTCATAGTCATTTGTATTACTGCTATTTTAACATTCTTATTTGTTTAATGCAATATCTGGATCCCCTATGGGTCTATTCTATCATCTGTTTCGTCTCATGGTTTTTGGCCATGTCCTTGGCCTACCCATATATATATATATATATATATGTAAGAACCTTGCCAATAACATTTTACAGCTTTGTACAGTATTATCCTTTTTTGAGAGGGCTGAGTCTGTCTTTCGGCTGCTAGATAAGAGTGCTGGCTGACCAAATTAATCCACTTAGAGAACAGATTAACTCCTGTCTGAGTTATAGCACTTTAGGGAAGCCCTCACTGTTAGGTCTCAATCTTACAGAAATATCAATTGAGAATATCTGGTGTTTACCATGGTTCTTCCACAGCAGCACATTCTAAATTTGAGCTCTTATCTATAGAGCATCACAATACTGGTGAAATTTTTCTCTGCTTTTTGCAAGATTTCTGCTTGATTTTAGCCTCTAAGCTTCATAATTCAGCAAATGTAGTGAGTGAAAACCCAACAGAGTATTATCTCACTTGTCTACCTTTCTCCTTACTGAAATATTCTGCCCCACACCATGCCCTAATTTTTGTCTCTTTAGGTTCATAGGTCTGTCAAAAGTTGTGCCAGTTTTTTGTCATCTTACTAAGTGTTTTTTTTTGTTTTTCCTCTCAGACCCTTTGCCAAAATTCTCAGCTTCTTGCCAATGTCTAAAAATACTAAATATCCTCAGGGAAAAAAAGTAACTGCAGAGGTTGCTTCTCCTCTCAAGGTTTGCCTTTCTCCAGGAATTTGGGCTTTAACTTCCTAGTTGCCTAAATAACTGTCTGATGCTCTTAAAAAGAAATCTTTTAAAACTTCATTCAGTTTTTCTAGGTGTTCTCAGTGGGAGCACTGTTCTGCATAAGCTACTCCATTGCAGCTTGAAGTGGAAGTCTTATTTTCCTTACTTATTTTACTTGTTTAGTCCTTTGGTTTCCAATTCCAGTTATGTTGCCCTTATTTAACAACAATCTCTGCCTAGTTCTTTGAATTTTTGCATGTTTAACTTAGAGGAGTTATTACTTTTACATACTTTCAGGTGTTTTCAGTTCCATTCTCTGATAAAAAGGCAGACATACCAACTCAGGAACAATGGTAAGACTGACTGTGTACAGACAGTTAGTATGGTCTTCCAGTGGCTACTCATTTTAATACAGAAGTCTACTTCTAGGTTCTGATTCATTTCAATGTGTTTTTTCTTTAGACTATATGACTGCAAGTACTCATATCACAAGCTATCATTATGACATTTCTACCCTTTCTTTTATATGTTCATTAATTCCAAGAATGATATAAAATATGAGGGTTATTGGATAAATAATTATTAACTAAGAAATAAATTGTTAGGTTTGGATGTAGACATCTAATGTACATATATCCAGAGGGAACCCTACTTCAAAAAGACACCTGCACCCCAATGTTTATAGCAGCACTATTTACAAAAACCAAGACATGGAAACAGCCTAAATATCCATCAACAGATGACTGGATAAAGAAGATGTGGTATATTTATACAATGGAATACTATTCAGTCATAAAAATGACAACATAACATCATTTGCAGCAACACAGATGTCCCTGGAGAATGTCATTCTAAGTGAAGTAAGCCAGAAGGAGAAAGCAAAGTATCTTATGGTATCACTCACATGTGAAATTAAAAAAAACCTTAAATATAAAACAGAAACAGACTCATAGAATACAATCTTGTGGCTGCCAAGGGGGTGGGGGATAGGAAGGGACATCGAAATTTGTAGATACTTACAGGCATATGTAGAATAGATAAACAAGATTATACTGTGTATAACACAGGGAAATATATACAAGATCTTGTGGTAGCTCACAGTGAAAAAGAATGCAACAATGAATATATGAATGTTCATGTATAACCGAAAAATTGTGCTGTACTCTGGAAACTGACACAACATTGTAAACTGAATATAACTTAAAAAAATCTAATGTACAAAGTTACACTTACCCACCATAATCTTCATTGAACCCAGCAAACGGTATTGGATCACAGTGTACAAAAATTATTAATGCAAGCACTACAAGTGATACAGCAGCTGTAACCATCACAAATCTCATAAGGCATTTACAAGACATTCGCATCGTGTAAACGATGATACCTCCCAGAAACTGGCCAATTGCACCTCCTAGAATTAAAATAAATCCTAAAAGAAAGGAAGAAGAGAAAACACAGTTAAAAATGATCAGCTAAATATAGTACAGAAAATTCATACACTGATGCAATTATCTCTGCTCTAAACATACAGCAAACATAGATTTAAATCAAGAGACAGAGAAAAAACTTAAAGGTACGATAAATACCACAACAAACCTGAACCTTATAAGAAATACAAATTTGTGAGTGGGGCTGAAACTATGGGCCTAAAGGACTCTAGAGGAGTGATGGTGAAGTTTTGCTCCTATGTAGTAATGGCTCTATGAAAAGCCCAGGACTTAATCCATGTAAAACATTAAAATGAGAGGTGTCTTACTGAGAGCTATTATTGGATAACTGCTTGCATTTATGGTTTATAGCAAGAAGTATGCCCACAGTGACAAGCATTCACATAGTTTTGCTACCAAAAATGAAACCAAGCCACTCAGGTTCAGTGAATGGATGTGAAATATTAACAATCTCACATCAATAGAATAGCAATTATGAGACATAGTTTTCTTTTCAATCAAGCATAAGGGATTAGAAAGAGGCAAGTACAAGGAGGAAAATGAGGAAGAGGAGAAGAAATATAGTTAGAAAGTAGTAAATCAGATGAAGATAGCACAGTAAACTCATACAATGTACAAAATAAATTATGTAAACACTGCCTAGATTTCAAAAAAACTAAAGATCTATTAGTAGTGTTTTAACTCAGCTTTTTCAGAAACAGAGGCATAGCTTACAACACTATTAAAAATATGGAAAAGTATTAACTGATCTGAACAATCAGTTATTTAAAAAGAGAAATAAGAATACTTAGAAACTAAAAATCTCTTCCCAATAATGCATGGCTTAAGTGAAAATATAATGATGAGAATTTAAAATGCTCAGAACTGAACAATAATAAAAATTATATCTAAATGTATGAGATGTTACTAAAGAAAATCTATAAATAATGATATGTACATTATAAGGTTGTTAAGAAAATTAAATGAGTTAATATTTAAGTGCTTAGGACAGTGTCCAGCCACATAGTAAACATACGAGTGCTTGTTAGAAAGTAGACATTTATAGACAAATTCATTCATTAGAAAGCAAAAAAGTACAAATAGATTAGGGGCAATATTTATTAAGGAAACAGCGGGAACTGGAAGTGAATCGGGAGATTTCAGAGGGTGAACAATAAGGCTGCAGGTAAGGAAGTCAAGAAGTAAACCACATTTTACTTCACAATCTTAGAAACTAAGGGCAGCAGGTATGACAGAAAGCAAGAGTGAGTAGACTTAAAAAAACAAGAGGACTGGATGGCAGTCTAAATACAATGTTCCCCACTCACAACACAGAATCACTGATCCAGAAGAGGACTCTTATGTTTATCCAGTTGAACTCAACAACTAGTTGGGAAAATCAAGAACATCTGTAAAGCAGAAAACTGAGAACCCAATGCAGCTAAGAAAATACTGGCTGTCAGTTTCATTATGCTAGGCAATAAGAAAATACTGGATACTGGGAGTTCAGCAATTAAATAGCTGTGTCCTTGAAAGACCACCCTAAAAGGAAAAAAAACAGCTGAAAATCAACTGCAAAGCACAGAACTTCCAATCAACTTTCTATGTCAATATTTTCCCGGTGTACAGAAAAACGCACAAATCACAATTATACATATTGATAAATTTTCAAAGTGAACATAACTATGTAACCACCACCTGGGTGAAAAATCAAAAATTATCAGGAGGCCAGAGGCTCTTTTGTGCTCTTATGGGATTTCATCAAATATGGATCATCAAGTATATATATACATTATCACTTCTTTTATTGGACATGATATTTGAAAAATTCACCCATATTTTTGTATAAAATAGATCATGCCTTCTCACTGAGGAACAGCATTCTATAGTATACACATATACTACAACTATTCACTGTAATGTTGCCAATTGCACTGCTACTTCAAAAATTCATATACATGTCCTTTTGGAAGCATATGCATTTATGTTGGATACATTCTTAAGAGAGGAACTTATGATGGGTATATAACTATGAGTGGAATTTCTGGTTCAGGGGACATGTATAGGTTCATATTTTTATGATACTGCCAAAGATACTTATAAAATGATAAACCAATTTACACTCTCACCAGTAGAGGATAAAATGTAAATTGCTTCATGTCCATGCCAACACGTATCTTTCATTTTAGCAATTCTGGTGAACAAGTAATGGTATCGCACTGAGATTTAACATGCATTTCACCGAGAATTGCTGAAGGTGAGCACATTTTCACATAAACATTGGCCAACTGGAATCATCTTGTATATAATGCCTGTTCAATTCTTTTGTCCATTTTTATTAGATTATCTGCATTTTTATTATTGTCAGATTTTTTCTGTATTCTGGACACAAATACTTTGAAGAATATTTCTATTGAAAAGACTGTTTTGCATGCATCTTCACTCCTTAGCGTGACTTTTAATGAACAAAAATCCTTAAATCTAATGTAATACCACACTTTTTTTTCTTTATAGTTATGTAATATATATTCTGTTTAATAAATCTTTGTCTTCTCCAAGGCCATGAAAATATTTTCCTATGCTTTATTCTAAAAAGCTTTATTGTTTTATCATTCACATTTAGATCTGCAATCCATCTAAAATTGGTATCTATATACATAGCGAGGTAGAGGTCAAGATTTATCTTTATTTATATGTAATATAATTACTGCTCTATTTATTGGGCAATAATTCTCCATTACCCTCTGTGCTGCACATCCTGCAAGCAGAAATACTGACTGCTTCTTGTTCTATCTTTTTAAGAATTATTTGTATAGTGAACAGTCTTGGATAACTGAGATAGTGTCTCCCTTTAGAGCACTTTTGTTGTGGCTCCTTTTACTAGTGTTGTGGCTCCAATTTCAAAATACAGAATTGGTAACCATATTTTGCAAGCTTGTACTGTTTATGCCCCTAAACTCCCAAAGTGATAGTGGAACACATAAACTGTTACCCAAACTATCTCCCTATCTCCTTGTGTACGGTCCAACAGAAACAACACAGAATCCCAGGAGGAAAAGGGAAAGTCCCAACTTTGATTATGCACTTAAATGAAGCAGGAGTGGTAAGAAATGCAATATATCAATTCCACAGACCTTACGTCTAGTGAAAAAAATTATCAAAGGCTTGAGGTTTATAGCGGATTAACCACCAATTGAATTTAATTGTTCCCATAGCCCTGGATTTTCCATACATTGTGATGTAACTGAATTTTTGACACAGACTGATGGCACTTGATATGCTAACTTAGACATTGCCAATGTCTTCTTTTGCATCCCATTAGTACCCAAAGAAAAAGACAAATTTTCATTCATTCCACAAAGCCACAAATACACTTTTGCAGCATTCCCTCATGGGTACCTAAATTCCTCTTTCATTTACTACAAGGGAATAGGTCAGGATTTACTGTGACTACCACTACCCTATGATGCCCAAAGCTTTCAATG